GAATTTTATTTGCAAATTATGGTGGAAAATAAGTATTTGGTCAATATCAAAAGTTCATCTCAATACTTTTGTTATATATCCTTTGTTGGCAATGACAGAGGTCAAACGTTTCCTGTAAGTCTTCACAAGGTTGGCACACACTGTTGCTGGTATGTTGGCCCATTCCTCCATGCAGATCTCCTCTAGAACAGTGATGTTTTGGGGCTGTCGCTGGGCAACACGGACTTTCAACTCCCTCCAAAGTGAGATCTGGAGACTGGCTAGGCCACTCCAGTGCCTTGAAATGCTTCTTACGAAGCCACTCCTTCGTTGCCCCGGGCGGTATGTTTGGGATCATTGTCATGTTGGAAGACCCAGCACGTTTCATCTTCAATGCCCTTGCTGATGAAAGGAGGTTTGCACTCAAAATCTCACGATCATGTGCCCCATTCATTCTGTCCTGTACATGGATCAGTCGTCTGGTCCCTTTGCGGAGAAACAGCCCCAAAGCATGATATTGCCACCCCCATGCTTCCTATGGTGTTCTTTTGATGCTCAGCATTCTCTCTCCTCATCAAACATGACGAGTTATGTTTCTACCAAACAGTTCTATTTTGGTTTCATCTGACCATATGACATTCTCCCAATCCTCTTCTGGATCATCCAAATGCTCTCTAGCAAACTTCAGACGGGCCCGGACATGTACTGGCTTAAGCAGGGGGACACGTCTGGCACTGCAGGATCTGAGTCCCTGGCGGCGTAGTGTGTTACTGATGGTAGCCTTTGTTACGTTGGTCCCAGCTCTCTGCAGGTCATTCACTAGGTCCCCCCAGTGTGGTCCTGGGATTTTTGCTCACCGTTCTTGTGATCATTTTGACCCCACGGGGTGAGATCTTGCGTGGAGCCCCAGATCGAGGGAGATTATCAGTGGTCTTGTATGTCTTCCATTTTCTAATTATTGCACCCACAGTTGATTTGTTCACACCAAGCTGCTTGCCTATTGCAGATTCAGTCTTCCCAGCCTGGTGCAGGTCTACAATTTTTGTTTCTGGTGTCCTTCGACAGCTCTTTTGGTCTTCACCATAGTGGAGTTTGGAGTGTGACTGTTTGAGGTTGTGGACAGGTGTCTTTTATACTGATAACAAGTTCAAACAGGTGCCATTGATACAGGTAATGAGTGCAGGACAGAGGAGCCTCTTAAAGAAGAAGGTACAGGTCTGTGAGAGCCATAAATCTTGCTTGTTTGTAGGTGACCAAATACTTATTTTCCACCATAATTTGCAAATAAATTCTTTCCAAATCAGCCAATGTGATTGTCTGGATTTTTTTTCTCATTTTGTCTCTCATAGTTGAGGTCTACCTATGATGCCAATTACAGGCCTCTCTCATCTTTTTAAGTGGGAGAACTTGCACAATTGGTGGCTGACTAAATACTTTTTTGCCCCACTGTATATGTGTAAAGCGCTGTGTAAATTGAGCTATATAAGTACCTGAAATAAATAAGTTGATCCAGGGAATATCCGATTGCCTCTCGGGGGATCAGGAAGGAATTTTTTTCCCTGCATGAGCAAACTGGATCATGCTTTGCTGGGTTTTTTTTTTGCCTTCGTCTGGATCAACTGTGGGTGTAGGATTATAACTTTTTTTTTTTTTTAATGGTTGAACTGGATGGACTTTTGTCTTTTTTTAGCCAGACTAGCTGTGTAACTATGTATTGTGCAATTGCCAGTTAAAGTAGCACAGTTGTGAATAGCCAAAAAATTGGTCACTTAATTAGGCAGACCATATCGCCCTGAGCATAATATTTCAGTTGAAGGCATGCCAGGGCTGGACGGGAAGGGGTTAAAGGTATAATTCACCATTACCAAAAATCTGCATGTGCAGATAAGGGACATCTGTAGATAAAAACAAGCTGTGCAGCTTTGACTAAAGCAGAATACTGCCCTTGCTATAGGTGTAGGCCATTTGTGTTCCTTAAGAAGCCTGACTGGAATACTTCTAGGACGTTGCTAAGATGTGCCCAGCACTTACTATACATGTTCACCATCACCAGAGTGAGCTTTTTCTCTGATTCAAACCCCCTCACATGCTCTTTCCTTCCCCTGATGCAGTAGTTCTGAGTTTGGCGTTGGAGAGTGCACTCTTGTGAAGGTAATCGCTAACATTAGTAATAAAATGAAATAAAATGGTGTAGCGCTCTATCTATAGTAACCAATTCAATACCGGGCAATTTTATACCTTCCTGCCCAGGCCAGTTTTCACGTTTCAGCGCTCTCACACTTTGAATGACAATTGCGCGGTCATACAACATTGTACCCAAACTAAAATTTTATCATTTTCTTCTCACAACTAGAGCTTTCTTTTGGTGGTATTTAATCACTGCTGGGGTTTTTATTTTTTGCTAAATTAACAAAAAAAGACCAAAAATCTTGAACAAAAAAAAGTTTTTTTTTTGTTTCTGTTATAAAAGTTTGCAAATAAATAATTGTTCTTCATAAATTTAGGCCGAGATGTATTCTGCTACATGTCTTTGGTGAAAATAACCCAAATTAGGATGTATTTTTTAGTATGTAGGAAAGTTATAGAGTTCACAAACTATGGGTATAGATCTGATTATTGATCAATCCTGAAGTACTGACAGCCAATCTAATTTCTTGAGGTCCAAGAATGTCAGAACAGTACAGATATCCCCCAAATGACCCCTTTTTGTAAAGTAGACAGTCCGACGTACTTCATAAGAGGCATGGCGAGTTTTTTGAAGTTGTATTTTTTTTCATAATTTTTCGGAAAATGAAAAAATGGAAAAAATTAGTTTCACTATTTTTTTTTACATACTGTCACCAGTGCAGTACAGCGTCATCATATAACTGGCATGGTGGTGATCAGGGACACTGATTGGTGACAGTATGAAAAAAAAAAATTATATATATATATATAGTTTTTTTTTTTTTAATTAAATTTTTTTTCTTTTCATGTTTTAAGATTTTTTTTTCATATTTCACTATGACCAAAGAAGTACAATGTTACCATAGTAACATTGTACTACTTTGGGGAAGTGATCAGTATTTTGGTTTTTTTTTACACAATTTGCTTGTAGCAAAGAATTACTTTGCTATAAGCAAGCATTTACCTGAATGACATCGATTCATTCAGGGTTTTTTTTTTTTTGTGCTTAGCTGTGATTTGGCCACAGCTAATCACATGACATGTGCATGTGATTAGCTGTGACCATTCACAGCTACACACTAGTATACAATGGATGGCATGAATGAAGCCATCCATTGTATACAACTGTCATGTGACCTGCTGTGATTGGTCACAGCAGGTCACATGGTACCTGCAACGGGGCCGATACTCAGATCTGTCATCGGCCGTGTCCGAGGTACACGGCCGGTGACAGATCGCGCCGCTGCGCCGCTCTGCAGGAGCGCAATCTGCGCATGTGCATTAGGACGTCATATGGCCTCCACCCGGAACGTGATGACATTTGCCGCCCGCCATTCGGCCATAGGGCGGGTGGCAAATGGTTAAATATTTCAACAAATATGCATGTATAGATCAAATAAGTGTAAATAAATTACATAACAAAAAATGTGATCTGATCCTCCAGGGAGCTTTTAATTATCATGTATTCATTTGAAGAGCACGGGACTATTACATAATATTCATTTGAATCGCTAACATTAGGCTTCTCTTAGCAACATCCTTAGCAACGCCCTAGAAGTTTTCCTGTCAGGCTTCACGAGGTATGTATATGGCCTCCACCTATAGCAAAGGTATTATTCCACTTTGGTCAAAGCATTCAAAGTTTGTTTTATCTACAGACACCCCTTATCTGCATAAGCAGTTTTTTGGTGAAGGTGAACTAGCCCTTTAAAATGTTTATTTTAGGCTCTCATAAAATGTAAAACAATGAGGCTGAGGAGGGGACAATTTTTTCCTCAACTACAAAAGATAACCTTATGCAGGCCATAGACGGGGTCGTTTATCAGCCAATTTTTCGTCCCCACAAAAAATCGGCCAATATTCACGGCGTTAGTGGGGCCAGCCTGTCGCACGTTTTTCGCAGATCTTCTTGTTTATTTTTATCAGTCATGCTGGAAAATCCACAAAAAAACGGCCGTTGTTCGTGTACATTGGTGGCAGCATCGGCAAACGGGGGCCGACCGATTTTTCGTTTATCGACTGACAATTTGGCCGATAAACGGCCCGTCTATGGCCTGCAGTAGGCTAGGTACACACCTATGCAGTTTGCGTTTGATCCGTTTTTGCAGTGCGTTTTGCACTTAAGTTTTTTACGCATTTTGCAGGTTTTTTTCTTGTTAGGCAGATTTAAATCACAAAACGCATCAAAGATGCAGTAAAAATGCACGACATGCTTTTCTGCTGCGTTTCCATCGAAGTCTATAGAGCCAAAAACGCAACATTTTGCTTTCAAGTCCCTGACCCTTTCCAAAAAACGCACTGGGTGAAAAGGCGCAGATGTGAGCGTGTCCCATAGGAGATCATGCTAAATGGACTGTAGTGCGTTTCTGGAAAACGCTTACGTGTGATCCTAGGGTGAGGAACCATTGAAGCCCAGCGCACCACCATCGTGCCAAAAATCTCAAGATTTTCAAGCTTCTGAAAAATGAAAACTCCGTAACACACGGATCCCCGCAAACGTCAGGGCTGTTCCTGGACACCAGGCCCAGTGAGGACAGAGGAGTGCGGCCAGGGGGTGTCCACAGCAACCAGGGACACAGAGGTTCGGCCTGTGTGTCCCCGGCAACCAGGGCCAGTTGTCACTCCTTCATTGGCTGTGCCTGTAGCAGGAGGCGGGGGCGGGCCCGTCAGTGGCGACAGCTCGGGGGGGCGGGTCCGTCACTGGCGACAGCTGGAGGGGGGCGAGGAAGCGCCGCGCGCTCCACGCCCGGCTTTCCTGCGCATGAGCTCCGGCGTGAGGTGACTGGCTGGCTGGCGGAGGTGACGTGCGCGCCCCCGTGTCTGGGAGCCGGAAGTCGGGACGTGGCCGGGGCAGGATGGCGGTGGTGAGCGGAGTAGAAAGGCTGGAGGTCTCCATAGACGGGCTGACACTGAGCCCCGACCAGGAGGAAGAGCCGCCACAGGGGGCGGAGGAAGAAGGGGAGCCGGCGGTGGAGGAGGAGGACGAGGCCGGACAGCTCAGCATGGAGCAGCGCTGGGGCTTCAGCCTGGAGGAGCTATACTCACTGGCACTGAAATTCTTCAAAGGTGAGAGGCACCTGAGGAGGGGAGGGGCCCCTGAGGACCCAGTACTGCCGGCTGTATGTGGGGCCCCATCTTAAATGAATGGAAAGTGAGGCCTCTCTGCTGCCAAAAGGTCCTCATCTAATTATACATATTAGTGGACAGTACTATGGGGCCCCATGTCATGTGACTGTCCTAGAGGGCCCCTGAACTGTTTTGCATTATAGGGCCCCATGTCACCTGAGTGTAATATTAGACCCCTGTACTACTTAGGACTGGATGTCACCATATCATCTCAATGTACTATGGGGCCCCTGTATTTTTACACTGTGGCTCCTCGAGTCATGTGACTGGGACCCTGTACTACTGTACATCAGTATATAGCATTGCAGTATGGGTCCCTATATCATTTGAATGTACTGAGGGGCCCCTGTACTACTTTGCAGTATGGGTCTCCATATCACGTGACTGTACTGTGGGGCCCCTGTACTACTTTGCAGTATGGGTCCCCATATCATCTGAATGTACTGAGGGGCCCCTGTACTACTTTGAAGTATGGGTCCCCATATCACGTGACTACTGTGGGGCCCCTGTACTACTTTGCAGTATGGGTCCCCATGTCACATGACTGTACTGTGGGGCCCCTGTACTATTTTGTACTGTGGGTGTCCATATTATGTGACTGTACTGTGGGGCCCCTGTACTATTTCCTACTGTAGGTGCCCACATCATCTGAATGTACTATGTGTTTCCTGTATTGCTTTATATGCTGGGTCCCCGGATCACATGACCCTGTGCTACTTTGCACTTTGGGTTCCCATAAATCATTGCAGTATTGTCCCCTATGTCATCTGAATGTACTATGGGGCCCCTGTACTGCTTTGCTTGATATCATGACTTCTGTAGGGCCCCTGTATGTACACTATGGGTCCCCATATCATATGAATGTACTGTGGGGCCCCTGTATTGCTTAGCACTCTGAGTCCCTATATACCATTGCACAATGAGCCTACATATCAGTGACTGTACTGTGGGATTTCTGTATTGCCATCTTGTGGCCTTTGTATAGCTGTCTATAATATGTGGCCCCATCTCATCTAACTACAGGATGGGCCCCCGGTACTGTGATATGTACTAAGTTTCCATACTGGTTTTAGGACCCGTGTTCTGCAGTCTGTATTAAGGATGCCCATATTATCCAACTTCATCCTGCTGTTGTCATCGTGGGGCTCCTATACTGGTGGCTTTGTTATGGGGCCCCTGTATTGAAGTATTTACTATGGGTACCCATATGATGACTGTATTGTGGGGCTCCAGTACTGCCTGTATGACTATAGGTATTCATATCTCATACTGAGGGCCCTATGTCATGAGACAGTTGACACCACTGCCTTCTTTATGGGTCCCCTGCATTGTGGGGCCACATATCTTCTGTCTCTGCTATGCTGACTGCACAGTGGGATGTCTGCTTCATGGGGGTTGCTGTACTGGTGCCAGTACTCTGGGGCCCTATACCTATCGATTTCATACTGTGGGATCCCTTTGCAGCCTGCTGCCTGTGCCATGGGTCCTGCTGCTACTCTTTCATGGGGCCTCTTGCCTGGCACACTGTACAATGAGATCCCTTTACTTGTGTCGGAGCTTGCTGGTATTTTTGCCCTGGGCCCCCCAGTACTAATACTTGTTTCATGTAGCCTCATGCCTTTTTGGTTACCTTACCCCATCCCAATGGTACCCAGAAACGTAATTACCACTCCCCCCTACTGCATGGTCCCATTGTAAATATAGTTTCTCTCTGTGTCCTGTTGACAATGGTGTTTGCTGTGTATAAGGACTGTGTTGTATTGATCTATATTATCATAGTAACTCCATGAAATGAACACTTGGTTATGGATAGAGGAATCGGAGCAGGATGTGTTTAGAATTCCACATGCTCATCCTTCTCTTATCTGCCTGCTGTGGGAGAACAGAGACATTCAGTGATATCCTGCTGTACCCATCCGACTGGATAGCATACCGTGTATACCCATTTGTAAGAAGTGTATTTAAAGCTGACAACTGCCGCTCACTGGATATTTTCTCTTTTTCGGACCATTCTCTGTAAACCCTACAGATGGCTGTTTGTGAAAATCACAATAGATCAGCAGTTTTTTAAATACTCAGACCAGCCCGTCTGGCATCAACAACCATGCCAAGTTCAAAGCCATCTAAATCCCTTTCTTCCCCATTCTGATGTTCGGTTTGAACCTCAGCAAGTCATCTTCACCACATCTACATACCTATATGCATTGAGTTGCTGCCATGTGATTGGCTGATTAGCAGTTTGCGTTACCAAGCAGTTGAACAGGTGTACCTAATAAAGTGGCCGGTGAATGTACATCCGTACAGTGTGGTGATGTCACACTTATTCATTGGGCTTTCTTCCTCATTCCAGCACACCTTGTCCAACTCATCTGTGTCGGTGACATTTTCAACAATACTTAGTGTCATTACCATTACTATGAAAGTAGCTTTTATGTGATATATATAAATGCACACTTATATACACACATTTATTCCTGTGTCCCATTGGTTGGGATACTCACCTTTTACTTCCTGTCCTATAGACAAAACAGAACGTCAGAGAAAATCTCTCAAAAGTGAAGGAGTTCCTTTTTGTCACTGTCTTGTCAACTGCCTCTGTTGTAAGACTTCCCCTCTTCTTGTTCCGGTGCAAATTTAAAATTTTGGATTTCCTGTTACTTTAACCGTAGTGACCATAATTACCAGGACCCACTAGAAAGGGTGATACAGATGGCAGACTAAAATGGATCTGAATATTTTAATACTTAACGTTCATATTGTTTTCCAGTTCGGTTTTATGAAAACCGTCTCACTTACATATTGATTTTATAGAAGTTTCCTTTTATAATCATATATAATCATAATGGCTAAATGGTTAGCACTTCTGCCTGGCAGTACTAGGGTCGTTGGTTCAAATCCCAACCATGGCACCACCTGCCTGGAGTTTGCATGTTCTCCCTGTGCCTGCGTGGGTTTCCTCCGGGTACTCCGGTTTCCTCCCACAGTCCAAAAACATGCTGGTAGGCTAATTGGATCCTGTCTAAATTGGCCCATGTATATATGAATGTAAGTTAGGGACCTTAGATTGTACACTCCTTGAGGGTTAGGGACTGATGATAATGTACAATATATATGTAAAGCGCTGCGTAAACTGACGGCGCTATATAAGTACCTGAAATAAATAATAAATAATCATTGCATTTGTAGAGCAGACTTTACTTTGTAACAAGTACCTTAAAGAAGAGTTCCAGTATGGATATTTTGTACATAGTTACATTGGTCCAGCTTAGATCAATGTAACTCTGTATATGCCATATCTGGCTGTTCCCCCTGGAAGCTGGAAATCACTGAAGTAGATACCACTTCAATGGTGTGATCTCAACTAGCTTTTGGGTCCTATTTTGAGTGGCTGACATGCTGTCTTGTGAACACAGGAGGTTGTCCGCTCAGCAGGGGCACCATCCAAAGAATGCTTTTCATTTTCTGAATGCATACAAAAGCATTCTGACTAATCAAGGTAGAGAGGCAGGGTGGTGTCATCACTTCTAATGATTGGTAAACTACAATATAATACATTTTTTTTTTTGAGTTTAGTTGCGCTTGAGCCTAGGTTCACACTAGAGCGTGGTGCAGCAAACTCACGATCTGTTCACGTTTCCCGAAGCACGTTCAAATCGTACTGCAGTTGCGGTTGGCAGGGGGTGTCAGTGTCAAGTTCATGACACCCAAAATGCAGGTTGTAAATGCAGTGTGTTTGCCTGCAGCAGATCACATGATAAAAATGTACAATGCAAACTGGTTGCAGTGTGTTTCCAAAAGTAGTGCATGCACTACATTTGGTGCAATGCAGTACAATTTGAGCCCATTCAAAATGAATGGGCTCAAATCGCACTGCACTGGATCACATGTGAATCAAACAGGAATGTACTGCGCGTTCCTATGCATTTCATAGTGTGAACTGAGGCTTAAGGCCTTGTTTGCATGGGTAGCCAGGGGGTGGTGAAAATAGGTGATTGAGCAGCGGCTGTTTTTGCAACACTCCTCACGTTTCAAGAATTTTTCTGGGGTAAACATGTTGAGAGGCTGCTATCTCTGATCGCTGGAGAAAAAAATAAATCTAAATACCCTTTTTATCCATTTTTTTGCTGGTGAGGTCCTTCTTTAGGTATCTACAGTGCTGCCTGCATGATGTGGACACTTTTGTTGGCTATCCAGAAGAGGAATTGCATCATTGTTAGTGGTTGGTAGGAGACCAGGACAGCGAGGGTTAATCTTTACATCTGGTGAGGGATGATATACTCATACTTAGATGAGTATGTCTATTTTCAGCAGGCAAGACAAAAAAAGTAGCCTCACATAATGGGTGGGAAGATCGGATGGGAAATTGTTTGTTTTTGCCTAGAGTTGGGCTTTAGGGTTATGTTGGAAGTCTGCATCGCAGCTGAGAAGATCAGTACAGGAGTGTGGAAATGTTTGAAAAAACGTCTTGTCCAGGGACTAAATCGGAGCCCCAATCTACTTGTCCCTCATGACAATCTACTTGTCCTGATAAAAAAAAAAACTCAGTTATCAAAATCAATAAATCGGAGGTGATTTTAGGAATGGGACTTTTAAAAACAAAAGGGTTTCTGTGGCGACTTAAATGTTTGTTTTTAACATTGCATGGTTTATCTCCCCTCCCTGCCTGTCTCCAGCACCGCACCTGGGGGATAGCAGGGAAGGGAAAGACCTTGCAGTGTAATGAGCACTGATTGGGGTGTTCTTCAGGAACGGGTGGGTCAGGGCTTATCCTTTATCCCTTTTGCTGCCAGAGCCGTTTTTTTTTTTGCGTTTTTTGCACACATTTAAAAAATCATTTTAGGCTTGAAGATTACATAAAACCCCAAACATTATACATTTTCTGAAATCAGAGACCCTAGAGAATAAAAGCAGGGTAGTTCTAATTTTTTATGTTTCATATT